GAGTTATAAGAAAGTGTAGGAAGGAGGTATGGGTGTAAAAAAACGCTATGGTGTAATTGATTACATAGACATAATAAAGCATTGGCATGATGGTGTCAACCTGTCTCAATGATATGAATATATGTAATCAACCTGACATTTTGCGTAGGTTTGATTATTTTGAGTTTTTTTTTTTTTGGGGGGGGGGTTCTAGATATCTAATTTTAAATTGTTATGGATTTATATCGTTTCATATCTATTTCATCTTTATTGCAATAAGATATTCAGCGCAGTTTAGAGGAGGTAACTATTAAAAACCTTATCCCGGCCCATCGACTGTAAGTCATGAATGTTTTGGTTTTCGTATCAATACCTTCCAATCGGTGTAAGATTGCATTGATAATGAACTTAGGATGGGTTTATTTCAGGCGTCTATATCACAGTTGTTTTAATTTTCAGTAACTTTAACTGCACGTCATACCTCATTAGCAATTGTAACTCTAATTTACTGTAGAAAATCTGCTGATATATTAATACAAAATAAAGGATACTGTCTTCATTATATTCTATTTTATTCTGTTTCCAGCTACAAATTTAATAAACACATACAAATAGAATAAAAGGTGTAGCCGCGTTAGTCTGCTAAACAACAATAATAAGAAATGACAATAGTACCGGTACCTTAAGACTAACTCGTAAGAATTGTATTTGAAATAACTTTGTTACAAGTTAGTATTAAACGTGCTGTTGTCATTTCTTATACAAGTAGAAATACAAAACACAGGGGATTTATAGACCCTATCAAATTAGCTTCCCGTACTGTATTTCTAATATAAAATATCATACATTATTATTTAGTCCTTTTATTAGTATTATAATTAATCTTTACAATATATAATGCTAAAAATGTATCGAGATGCGTATTATAGTAACAGAAAATAAATAGTAATTATACTATACATGATCAGAAAAGCTTAGCGAAAAATCGATTACTTATTAAAGAAATAAGAGATTACAGAAACTCGGTTCTAATCTGCGGTGTACATCCCAGCTAACAATATTACTTCATAAAAACGTTATAATAACGTAACAATTTGGCTATAAAGTTGAAAGTTTGAGACAAGGTCCATAGATGGAAACACATCAACTTATTAGTTCCGGCTTTACGCTTAAATACGGTACAGGCGCAAGTTATTATATTGGGTTTTTCGGAAGAGTTAATAAGATAGAATTATTATTATTATTATTATTATTATTATTATTATTATTATTATTATTATTATTATTATTATTATTATTATTATTATTTTTAATTTTTTTTTTGTACAAAAAAATATTATTTAGAAGGTTCATTTGTACAACATTAAAATGTCATAAAATGTCTTAAAACTGGGAAAAATAGAAGAATACCAAGACGCCGTTCGAACTCACGACCTTTGGTTCTTTAGGTCACATCCTTAACCAACCGCGCCATCCATGCAATGTCCTTTTAGTGGTAATGGCAGTAATCATAGTCCTTGCTGGAACCCCTGTTTTGTTTTGTAGGTGTAGGGGGAACTAGGGTCCAACTTAAAAAAAGGGCGATGAAAGTTTCTTGGACATCACCTCTAGTTTATGTATACACAATTTCCTGTACGTCCTTTCAAAACTGGCGACACTGGACGCTTTTAAAGTTTTGGTAAAAAGAACAAGAACAACAGTGAGGCTCTGGGGTCAGCGCCTTGTTCGGACCCAAAAAAGTAGGTACATAATGTCCTAAAGATGGGGACTTGGCTCTTATTACTATGAAGGGATACGGTATACCTGAAAGGACGTTAAGCCATTGGTATCGTGTGTGCAGCGATTAGTGATTAAAAATATAAATTTAGTAAGCTATAAACTGATTGATTGGAGTTGTTTTTCAGTTAACAACTCGCCGTTAACATGGTTTGTTTCTTGATTTCGACATAGTGAGGTGAAATCAAGAAGAATCTTTTAACAAGTGACATTAAATTGCATATTGTAAAAGTCGTCTTAAATATTGAATTTGATATTTGAAATGTATTTTAAACTCATTTTTTTCGTCAAAAACGTTTGGAATGTAAGATATGCCAATACTTAGAGGTAAAAAGTTTTAGCATGCGTTTTTAGTAGCGGTACGTGTGCGCTTACTGTTAAAAGTAAATGTTGACGTCGTTTCTCCATATTTTTAGATTGCAATCGCGCTGTCCACACAGAAAGCTTTCGCAACTAGTCTATCGTTTGGGAACGAGCCACCGAATGTTTTATGAATGATGTCACCATTTTAGGCGTAGTTTTGAATTATCAAAATAATCATAACCTGTGATCTAGCCCTGAATCTCGAGCGATGAATGGAGAATCAGATCTTGAATGTATTTGCTATACATTCCAATGGTTTATGTCTTTACTTTTCATTTAATGAATACAATAGATATAATATAGCAGATCATCATGGTCAATATTGATTCCAAGTTCCACAGATATTTCACACATTTTTACATAATCTATATGTATTTCGTTCCCTTAGCCATACCGTAGGCTACTATTACAGCAGCCAAGGGCCCAAACGCGCGTGCCACGGATGTCGCAACAGTATATGCATGCTGCCACCAAGTGTGTTCGGTTCTTATGAGAATGCGAAAAGAGGTAGCGAAAGCTCCATATTTTTGTGCCTGAGTACGGAAACAGCAGCTACTGTATACATTTTCTATTCACTACTTCTTACATTACTGGAACATATGCAAGTAGAAATTTGTTGTGCCAGTGAAATTTTACATATCATGCATACTTTACGTAGAAAGTTAGATAAATCCCAAAGTAAACTGCTAAAATCAAGTTTGGGCCTTCCAACATATTGCAAGTCGTCAGACTTACTAATTGCACTTGGTGTCCCAAAGATTGAATATCAGAATAATGTTGAATATCAGAATAATGCTATGGAGTTCGACCTGCTCTTTCAGATTTTAAATAACTCGTCTATCTCTAGGCCATTCTACGCTCACCTTATAAATTGTGAAGCCAGTAATAACTTGGCGTACAAGAATATACTCATTGATAGGGTAAAATCCTCATGTGTTCTTGAGTCCTTTTTCTTCAGAAATACTCTAACTTTTGTAAGAAAATATGCAAAAAGGATGATGATTATCAAAGTGGTATCGCTGACAGTGTTCAGGGAATTTTATTTAATGACCTTTTTTTTTTTTTTATCACATTATAGTCTCCAACGTATAAAGGAACTTTTATCACCTTTCTAACTTTAAGTGCCGTTTGTCAAGGGCGACCTTTGTTTGACTTTGTAATTTTTATTGGCCTTTAGTTAATATATTGAATTCAAAGAGCCTGTAAAATTTTCCGTTTTTGTTTGGTGGTTGTCTGGTGTGTTTAAGTATTTTCTAAGACTGTTGTTTTGCCTGTACCTGTTAAAAGTGGTGTTAAAGTTAAAGTGGTGTTTTGGTTTCTCCATTTATTGATGTAAGTGAATATTTGGGTCTTTTTTAAGAATTTGTAAATTTGTTCATGTTTTTTTTTTCATTTCAATTCAATTCAATTCAATTTATTCATCATCAAAGAAAAGTTAAAATAGCATAATATAATAAATAAGATGAAATGGACAACCATAAAAAGCTCAAAGAGCTTGTACAAACGTGGTGCTCAGTAATTTAAAAAGTTAAGTAAATTATGTTTAAAACTAAAAAGCATTCAATAAAATAATTAAAATATTTCAGATTATGATAAAATACGATCAGATATATACAATTCAAAATACAAAATTAAAAGGAAGAGATACCAATCTCAATTGTTGTGGTTCTTGTAATGAAATTGTCCATTTTAATGAATTGTTTTTGTTGTACCTTGTTGTTCTTTTTTATTTCTCCGTCCCGGAGGTTTTCCTGAATAGATTTAAATTGAAATAAATATCCACCTCAGTACCTTAACAAATTTTACAGGGATTAGACGTCTCTGTTATGAAATACGAGTGTATTTTTCAAAATGTTCCAGTATTTTATTTCTATGGTCAGCGTTAATTTTAGGAAGCTTATACTAAAGCTGGACACACGCACTGCGTCGTACGAGGAACCTATCTCCGCTTTCTGTCATGTTTGACGACGCGACGCCGTCTGCTGATTGTCGGTGGCAGCATATATCGTCAAAAAAAACGATTCGTTGCGTGTGGTAGCGTTGCGGTCTCCACGGAATCATACACATCGACCGACGGCTGTCGGGCGCAGTGTGTGCCCGTCTTATACCACGGACGAATTCCATCTTGGACCGGCGCAGTGCACGCCAGGTTGTACGCAGAGAGCTACGCGAAAATGTGTGTTGAAACCTCTCCAAATATCTGGATTTTGTGTTTTTTATACCATGAGATCTTAAATCAAGAATATTATGAGCAATTCGAATCTCTGAACGATTGCTTCTCTTCCCATTAGGAACACATTTATGTCAGTAAACATAATGGTGCATAACAAAGCGATAAATAATGGTAGAAATGATGGGTAAAACATTTCATCTTGATTAGGCCTATATTTAGATAGTGCTGTGATTGTTCCGTTGATAATTTCTACCGAATTTCATAATTGTATTCCAAGGACTGTCGTTGGCTTTTTAATTAGGCCTACGTCAGGTCCTTATGAGTTTCACTTTGAGCAAATTAATCTAAGCATGTGTATCATATGCAACCACATCCAATCCCCAAGGAATATATTTTGTCGTGTAGCTAATCCAGCACCAGGATTTAATTCATAAAAAATATTCTCATCTATTTTAAGACATCAATTTATACAGTAAATTGCCTAAAGACAAATCTTAACTATTTGTAATGTAATTCATTTTTTTAAAACAAATTGACAAAAATCCAAATAAGGCATAATTATTTCAATTTGTAATAGAAGCATTTATCATTCTAAGAATAATGAAACATTTTAGTTATTAAAAAAAAAAAATATTTAAAAACTAGCATTTTCCTTCAAGCAGCTTTCAGATGAAAAATATGCTTGGCAATTTCTGGTCGCAAAGTGTTGCTTTCGGGCTCAGAAGATTTGTTTCAACCATTTCGACGTTTCACGATCATCGTCTTCACAAATATTTAGAAGGTAAATTGGATGTGAGACTTTTGTTGTGATGGTATAATAATTAATTGATTTATCATTCACACTATTGAAAGAAAATCATAATAAACCAATTCATAGTTTGAACTACGTATGCCCACATCCAAAGTATATCGACATAAACCCATGTTTTGTGTATGCTTGTTTATATCAATTGACTTTGATAGACGCATGCGTAGTTAAAGCTACGAACTGGTTTAATTGTTTTAGATACATCTTCGAAAATGTTGTAACCACCTTGTTCAAGACTTTGGAGGATAATTTCATAAAGTGTCGTACTGTGAGTTGGAAAACTTCTTAGGGGTTGGTTTTTAAATCGTTTACCAGTTTTCATTTGTACAGTAATCATATTTAACTTGGCAAATAGTGTTGAAGAGTTAATGGATATAAAATAATAAAACGCATTTTCACAGAGATATAAAAAAAACATTAATAAGAAGGGATAGATGTTCCGACCCTTACTAACATTATAGCATTTAAAGAAAATATTTTTTAGGCAAATGCTACGTTAGAGCAAATATATCTGAACAATTTCAAAAAGTAACCAGCGGCTGCCAAGACATGGAAACTCTATATGTTCTAATCTCGAATTTGCCTAGTTTTGCAAACTTACGCTATAAACATAGCATACGAACGTGATATGATATCTAGAATACACATTAATACCATAAATAGAAAAATGTATCTTAATAATAAATTGAGACCTCAATCATTAAGTATCTACATTCATTAGTCGCAGAGATGGAAATTCTGCGAATAGGATCAAAAGCCAATTGCAGTATTTGTCATCATTTCTTGATCAAATATTACATTAGAGCAACTGAAGCAAACATTTTCTGAAAAAAAAATGAAAAAAAGAAAGAAAGCAGCTTTATGCGACTAGTGGTTGCCAAGATATGGGAGGTCTATTTTTAAAACTAATTCTACATCTTTAGGCTAATTTGCATATGAACAAGGTCCAAATTCTTAAAAATGTAGGCCTGGTATTACATACGGTAGCTTATTACATCAGAGAATAAAGTATAGGCCGTAGTTTCAGTAAGGATATGAGAAGTCTCAACCACCCCTCCCCCGTTACTCACGGCTCAGCTTAAAAAAATCTCAGGACATAAAAGGCATACGTTCGAAAACAACTTATCAGCTTAAAATAGCCAGGTGATCCATTTGGACTCCTACCAGCCTTCGTTCTTGGACCCCGCTGACCTCCGCTGAAAATTTTCAGACCTATGTCGGGCAGCTTAGCCTTCCCCGTCTTGAAAATATCCTGGCGCCACTACTCTAGAGCCTATCATTATACAGAATAAGTAACAGTTACGTAAATCATATATTACTGTTTTTTCATGAAAATAAATATGTTACATTCATATCGGCAACGTTTAGAGAAATGCAAATCCTGAACATAAACATGGTCAGGGACAGGATTTGTGGCATGTTTAAAGTATTTTGAAGCAGTGAGCCTCCAGAGAAAGATAGTGTTAAGGTCGATATGGAGAAATTCTAGATATTGGTAGGAATACACAAGCATCGAATTCGAACTCCGTACTTTGGTAGGAATCCACAAACTTTACTTAAGTTATTTTTAACTACGTAAGCGCTTAATGATTACTGTTACACCTTCCAAAGCTCGCATCGCCTACTGACGAAAGGGATCACCAATCATCCACAACAATTAGTAAGGGAAATACTCCTGGAGCCGATTTCAAGTAGGCTTCTTAGACGTGTTTCAATACTAAGAACTATTAGTAGGCCTATCCAAAGTCATTTACACAAAATGGAGAACGATTTGCTTATGTGGGACTGTATGCTATTGCTGTCTTTCAATATTTTACTATCGAAGCAAACGTGGAATCTTCATAATATATATATATATATATATATATATAATATCATATAATATATATATAATTATATGATATATATATATTATATATATATATATATATATATATATATATGCGTATAAGCTGTATATCATAACATATTAAATTTCTTGAATCTCAGCTCAGCCATGATTTCAGTAAAGGTAATGTGGATATGGTCTACTGAATCTACTACAAGTATGGACGCAATAGCTAGTCAACCTAGTTTTGCGTTTTCAACTGAATTTATTAATCTCATTTTAATGTTTCTGTATTTGTATTGTAATTATTTTTTGATATAATGTATTTTTTTTTGTATTTTATTTATTTTCCCTCTTGATTTTGAGGCAAAACTAATAAACGTAAATTTGATTTTGATTTTCTTTCATTAATGAACCTCATTTCGAATCTATCGGCCGAGTACCAGCATAGAAGTAGAATTATTAAACACCACTATTTTGGAGAAAATAATGATGAAGCGCATTCAGGACGTGTAGGTATATAGTGAGTTGAAATCATGCCATGGTTTTTTGTATCGAAAGAGCTTCCAGTTTGAGTCAACGTGCGATGTTAGGGCCTATGTTCCACGTCATGACGAAAATTAAAAATCGCTTCGAAATGCATTAAGATACAGTATCTATTATAGAATGTAAAAGTAGGCTTGGTTTAATATTGTGGAAAAAGTCGTGTTCAGTACTGTGAAATCTGGAAAATCCTCAATTAATACCGTATACAGTTGAAGCCGGCCACTCACTGCGCCCGACGGTCGTCGACCGACGCGATTCTGTGGATAACGCAACACCACGGCGTGCGCGCAACGGACGATCGGTTCATACTGCCACCGACAATCGGCGTCTCGTCGCAGGATGCGGAATTGGATTCGTCGGCCGATGGTCGTACGACCGTCGTTCCACGCAGTGAGTGAGTGAGTGCCCGGCCTTTGACAATTAAGTTTTCAACTACAATAATACATAAATCGAAACAATTCAATTTCGGTGATATTCAGATTTATTACATACGGAAATCTTTGAAATCTTTGAATCTACCGAATATATGTCATTGAAAAGAATTCTGTGGTAAAATCTATATCCTCGAACATTCAATTAACATACTGATTTGCTTATTGAAAGGACCAAATACGTTTTAAAATTACAATTGTGACATAGATCCAAAAATAATTATGTTTTTGCTGATTTACATACGTTTTGCAACCTAAATCTAAAGTCATTGCCGACAGTGTTCAGTTTTTGGTAAAATTGTAATAACGCTAAAATATCAGATTAAGACACGGGTTTGCTTATTAACAACAATCATAAATTTCTCATGTGATTCTGATCAAGTTTAGCCTTCACAAAGTTATTATCAGAGTTATCTTTACTCGAATATCTTATCTACTGCTAGCAATGTAAAGTTAGTCTTAGAGCCACTGTCTGTGTTAAAATCCAAAAAGCTCCTTAAATATTAATCAGATTTGAGTTGCGCGTTTGTGTGTTTAAAATTATTAAATAAGCTGGCTTTTAATGAGACACTGAGGCTTTTGTTGACTTAGACTTACTATCTCAAGATTCTTTATTTCCACGACGGAAGTTAGCCACACATTAACACACAAGTTCTTGCTGATTTCAAAAATACAAAGATAGATAGATTCTTTTCTTATTCTTCTTCCTCTTGTAAGTATCAACGTAATTTTTCTTGAAAACTGTGAGAGTTGATGTAGAAATGGCGGTTTGTGGTAGAGAGTTCCAGAAACCAATGGTACTTGGGAAAAAAAGTTGACTGAAATGACTGGGTCCTAGGAAATGGTTGTCTGAATCTTGAATTATGACCTCTTGTGGCTGTGGTTCATGGAGTGAGATAGTGAGCTGGATCAGGTATGGAAATAGTACCATTGAGAATTTTATAAATAAAAACTAGTTTTGTTTCTTCTGTCGTTCTTCGGGAGTTTTCCACTGGAGCGATTGCAACATTTCGGAAACACTGCTATATTGGCTGTAGTCAGATTTTCAATCTTGCAGCCCGTCTTTGAACCATTTCCAACATACCGGTATGTATAAGATCCTTTATGTGTGGATCCTAAACTGCAGAGGAATACTCAACAGTTCGGCGAACATACGTTTTCTTTTCTTGTTTTGGTTATTTTATACTGTAGTGATTGTTTTAATCGTTTAAACGTACCTTTGGCATTCAATATACTAAATTTGTATGCGTCAGTTTATATTTCGTTTAAGCACAAGTTGTATTAATCTCCTGAAGGAAAAGAGTGAAATAATCTCTTGAGTGTGGTTCGTCTTGATTTTATTATCTTGATTCAATTTGATTTTCGTTTCAATCTTCATTATAGCAATTCAACCTAAAGGTGTATTACAATCGTAGTTTAGAACTCATCAAATATTTTATATTTTTCCGTCTGACCTTAAGATTCCACCGAGAGTCCTATTAATGCCTAACGAATTTTGTGAACAAATAACAACATAATTGATTTGATTAAATGTTCAGCGCAATGAGGACACGCATGGTTAACATATTCGCACAAACTCTTCGATGAAGCCTAATTTAAAAGTAGGATCGATGCTATTATTTTTGTTTACTGCTTGTCCAGTTTTTTGTTTTCCGTTACACTTAAACCATGTCATACAAAATATAAATTGTGGTCCTGATGTGATATTTTATTATGGTTTTCAATTGAATAAAAATATTTACCTCAATTTACAATAGGCCTATCTGTCATAATGCATAAACTGTTTATTTACTAAAACAGCCCGCTATCCAACTCTTACTATTCCTCTGACATTTTCTTCCTTTCACTTAAACTGTAAAAGCAGCAAAACAAACAAGATGCTGTCCCGCTTTTGGTGACATTTTAAAATGTCACCATAGTGGGTGTGTGTGTGTGCTGTCTCTTATACACATCTAGATGTGTATAAGAGACAGTATATATATAGGCCTACAAGTAAACTCATTTGTTTTCTGTTTTTTTTTTTTGATAGAGAAATCACCTGTCAAATATGTCTGACGCAGAACAACTAAAAGAATTTTTAAGAGAGATGAATATGACTCCTGAGGATGCATGTGAGATGGACATGTTTAGTGAGTATTGTTTTGATGGTTTAAGCTACCAACTTCGCTATTTGCTGTGTACACTGTACGGAATTACATTTCTGTTGGCTTTTATTGGCAACTCTATTATAATATACATTATCGCATTTAACAGACGGATGCGGACGATTACGAACATTTTAGTGGCGTCGCTTGCAGTTGCTGATATGCTGATCGCGTGTCTATGCATTCCGTTCGCTGTCGCTGAAATTATTAGTTATAACTGGATATTTGGTACGATTGGCTGTAAACTTGCAAGTTCTTTGACGGCCTTCGCTATGGCAGCAAGTATCTTAACGCTAATTTGTATAGCGGGGGACAGGTATCAAGTCATATGCCATCCACATCAGGACAGAAAGATCAAGACGTCGTGCCATGCGCTTGGATACTTGGCAATTGTCTGGATTTTTGCCACACTTCTTACGGTGCCACTTTTCATCTTCAGCGATATTAAGAAGATATCTGGATTACTTGAACACACATTTTGCCGAGAGACGTGGTCTCAATTCTACAACAAAACTTACACGATTTGTTTCACTCTTATCCTATATATTATACCATTTCTTTTGCTTTTTGTTCTCTACTCGAAGGTGGTTGGTCAACTTTGGCAACTCAAGGAAACCTTTAGTGGCGGAAACTCTGGAGGAATTTCCAGTGTGCCGCCTAGTAATGTCAGAAAGAAGAAACGTGCCATTAAAGTACTCATTTTGATTGTCCTTGTGTTCATTTTTTCGTGGTTGCCATTCCACGTTCATTCATTTCTACGGTTTATGTCGAAAAGTAAAATAAATGACAAAAGTCTTTTCTTTAATTTCACTGTGAAACTCATAGGTTTTACCAGCACTTTCGTTAACCCGATTTTGTACGGCCTTATGAACACAAACCTAAAACGCTACATTATGGTTGGAATTAACTGTCGCAAAATCAAAAAGCAATCCGCCCCTTCTACAAAGGAAGAGTTGATGATGCTCCCACCTGAAATATAAATTTCAAAAAAAAAAAAAAAACCTTAAACGCACGCTTGGCGGTCGAAGGTTGTGATACCAGACTACTAGGCCAAACTCTAGTGTTCAAATCCCTCCGAATGGTTTTCGAATTTGTTCAAAAGTGATTCAAGCGTATTGAGATAGTCGTTATTAGTATTCTGCTGTGCTCTTGTCTATAATGGGCGGTCGTGTTATTTTTTTAATACACAATCAAAAACCAGTCCGCCCCTTCTACAAAGGAAGAGTTGATGTTGTTCAAGCCTGAATTATAAATTTTAAAACAAACTTTGAATGCACGGTTGGTGGTCAAACATTGTGATACCAGACTTCTAGGCCAATCTAGTGTTCAAATCCCACCGAATGACTTTCGAATTTGTTCAAAAGTGATTCAAGCGTATTGAGTATTAGTCGTCATTCTGCTGTGCTCTTGTCTATGGGCGCGCTATCATGTTATTTTTTTGTTTAAGGCATCCGGTTGTTTGTCAATATTTCCATGTTACCAATGCTTAAGATACGTTGAATTCCTGAAAAAATATATTGAATTTCAAAATGTTTCATATTATTTTGAATGAAAGCATGCGATCATCTAGTGTGATCTATGTATTTGACGATATAAATAATAGAAAATAGAATATAACTATATGTATCAGTTATGATAATCGTAATTGGCTGATTAATACCATTATAGCGGGGAGGTCTTGGTTTGAATCCTGGCTGGTGGTAAAATACAGTTTCTGAAAATATTATAGGTCTATGTCCAAAATGTATATATTTATGTATATAAATTTTAATTTCATATTCCTATAACGTGAATCTTTATGTCAACATGTGTTGAATTTGTAAGTTTAACTATATATAAATAAAAACTGAAATGCGATGCTGAAATAAATTAAAGTTAAGAGTTTGTAATATAATACGTGGTGTAAAGATTGATCGAAAAAACAATCTTGTTGATTTATGATTTAAAAAATACCATCACTTTATTGTTACAGGGTTTGTTAGAAATACGTTTGTCGGATAGTCAATCGACAGTCTTGTTTTTGCAATGAACAAAAAAAAATCATTTGATTTAGACATATTTATGTAAACAGAATGAGATTGGTCTGTGTGTGTATATACACCGCTAGGTGGATATTATTTGGCAACCATGCGTAAAATATAAAGCTCGCTACGGATTTGTAAGATAATTCTAATGTTATTGTAAGAATGTTGTAATACCGCCTTATAAGCTGCCGTAAATAACCGTTGTTGAAAGACGAATTTCTTACTTCACAAAAATCCCCAACTCGCAATACATCGACTGCGACCGTCGACCAATGGAACCGGTGCCGTGTTTGCTAACGCTGATGCGATAATGGCCGATCTCCTGTTGAAATGTTATCAAGCATCAAAGTAACTCATGGCGTGTGGAATCGCTTCGGCACTGCTTCTGTCAACGAATTTACAGAAAGATTACTTTATTATTTTTCTAAATACAAAAATACATGATCAGGACTAAATCATGTATGATACATTATATTAACATTATATTATTATTATTATTATATTATATTATTATATATTGCCATAGTCAAACAGAAGACGAATTCGATATTGTTTCTTGAACAACTGCCTTAGAAGAAAGGGTCCTATATCTTGTATCTTCTATACCGTAGTGTCCGAAATATCTTGACAACAGTTGTTTACTGACCTTGTTATTGACCTTGTACTACAAGGTCCAGTAAATGAGTACTGTATATACAATGAAGAAATATTCGCTTGTGTTTGATGAACTTGATGTTGTTATTAATTATAGGCTTTGTAAAATCCTGTAAAAATCAAAGAGGTAAAAAAGTCAAATCCACTCATAGATTCTCATAGCCGTAGGCATTTATAGGCCTAGCCAAAGCCTAGTGTTCACCAAAGCCCTACAGCACGATTGGTTAGGTCCGTTTATGGTGGATCTAGTGACGAAATATTCTTGGTGACGTAAACAACAGATTTGCTTGAGATGCATAAGAACCACAAGAGATACCGGCACTATGTTACTGTCCGGTAGGAAATATGAAAATTACGTGGAAATGAAAATAATGACTTCACGATTTGACGTAACTATTTTCATCATTAACATTATCATTATTAATATTAATATTGTATTATCAAATTATTTGAAAAGTTGCACAAAATATATACGAACCATATAATACCGGTACCTGTAATTATACAAGTACAACAAGACAAGGATTGAGGACAGGCAATCGAATTTTTACTCAGGGAGAAATCCCATGATACATCCTTTCATTCTTTTGGCTTGGTCCCATAATCGAGGCAACAAATTACTCAAATTTATTCTTACTATAATTTTCACAATATCACCTCTATCAACTGTTACCATTCATTATTTTGCGATTATTAAAATAATACCCAAAGTTAAGATTGGTTTTTGTTTTTCATTTATGTACCATGGCGTACGCAAGCAAAACTATAATAATGATAATAATAATAATAATAAATAATAATAATAATAATAATAATAATAATAATAATAATAATAATAATAATAATAATAATAATAATAATAATAATAAATGTGCTCGGAATGGAACATAATGATGTTATAATCGTATCAAGCATAGCTGCTCTTAAAAAATGTATTTCCATTTGCTCGAAAAAGTGTCAAGCGTGTGTTTTGTGTGTGTGTGTGTGTGTGTGGGGTGGGGTGTGGGTGTGGGTGTGTGTGTGTGTGTGGGTGTGTGTTTATGTGTGTGTGTGGAATTAGGCGTAGGGGCCTACATGCCCTGATGCTCTCACTTCAGATTGCAGTTTTCTTTACTCTAATGCATACGCAGGGAACAACCCTCTAACAACTAGTTATCGAAGCACTTACTCACAACAGAGATCTCATGACAGTCTTATTTTATACAACCGAAAATAGAAGAGACACTTTGAATATGTTCTGTCTGTAATGCACTTTCCAACAATAAAATTCAATGGTAGAGTTGCTTACCTTGTATTTTATGAGAGCTTTCAACTGACTATTACAACCAGAAAAAAAAACATTTTCTTTCACAATAATGGACGTATGTGTAAGTAATACCTCTCCCGTATTCTTTTGCATAGACCCTTAAATTGATTTTTATAACAAATGTCGGTATATCAAAGAAAACCTATTAGTTCTGATTTGTGTTTCATTGGAAATTAAAAATTTATACTTCAAATGAGCTGTTATTTTTTTTAAATCGAAAAATAATATTTTCTCAAACGTTTACTACTCGGACACGGTATATAAAATGATATTTTTTTTCAAAAAGAAATATAGGTCTGTGCCATCAGTTAATGCTAAAATAAACATACAAATGGATATTTTAGAAGTTTCAATCAAATTGAACTATTGACCAATCAGAATGTGGCAAGTATGTTGTCCTACGTTTACACTGTTATTTTAGCGGCACCTAGCAACAATATCTAAGGGGTGGGACTTAAGGCCAACTCAGACAGCGTCGTACGACGCAGCCCGACGCGATTTGTTGTCGCGTCGGGTCTGTGTGAGTTGAACGCAGACGCGATGGTGTGCGTCGGGGGCAGTCGCGTAATAGAATATTAAACGTGTTTAATATTTCTCACGACGGCTTAAGACTGTCCCCGACGATAAATCGGGTCGGGCTGCGTCGGCCGACGCTGTCTGAGTTGGCCTTTAGTAAAACGGTTCTTTATATACGGTAAACATGATACGAGTTCATCCCTCATCAAATGGTTTTAATATAACAACAGATACAATACAATTAAGATACAGTTATAGTATTTGGGATGTAGCTTAAAAATGAATCTGTACTGGAATATTGATCTTTGCAAACTGTGGCAAGTTGTTTATTATGTACTATATGAGATGCGGTTTCAAATGCATTAAAAATTATGGGCACTAATGCACTTTTTACTCTCCTATCATTTAAAACTAAACTGTATATACAAGCTCTAAACAGGGACCAGTCATATTATGACTGCTCCATACTCTAAACAATATAGTATGATGCTTCTTCATCATCTGGATTCACCACATGTGCGCCAAAATTATACCAGGTTGTGGCATTTTATCAGAAATAATCACACTATTTCATTTATATTTTTCTAGTAATAAACATAACTTTAATGCTAATTTTCGTTGTAGTGTGACAATATTTGTTTGTGTTTGTTTTGTCAACTCCCCAACAACAGACGGAATCGGCTACTCCAGCTATTACTGGTCACGTGACATATAGTGGATACTTGTAAACAGCCACATCGTAAACCACAGTGCGCTCAGTGTAATATTGAGAGTTATGTTTTTTAGACAGCGACCCAAAGTAAAGTAAGGCAGTAAGCCTATGTTTTTGTTTTTTTTTAATAGTGATTTATAATTACTTTGGCAATCTCCGTGCATTTTATTTAGGCATTTGAATGCTACTAGTGTAAGCTACATACAGGTATAGTCCTAAGCTGCACTGTAGTATAAACCTTGATCAGGGCCCGGACCAGGGAGGAGTTGTTATACCTCGACTATTATATCTCTGTAGTCGAGTAGGTAATAAAGTAGAAAATAACCCTTAACGGTACTGATTGCTCAACCGAACTTGGTCTAGGAAACAGGCTGGTGATTAGGCCTGGATGGTATGGTACATCCTAATGCCAGTACGTAATAATAATATTTGTTTATGTCATATGATGATCATTATCTTCGGCAGTAACTACTAACATCCTATGATTTAATTTTGGATTTAAAATAACTGTAAAATAATACTCTTGCAACGAATGGGGAGATTCGTTTTATCCTGCGATAGCATTTGCAAAGTACCTCAGCCGGCGACGCAGTAGCAATATATAGGCCTACGTCGTGAAAGTACCGTACCTTCCCTTGAAAAACTCCCGCTTTATTCCCACTATCCATTGGAGCCTTACCAAACCAAACTGATGTGTTTGAAAATTTAATTTTGGAACACTTCTAAGTGATTTACCAAATTAACTCGCGTTCCAACCAACATTTGCAACATCTATGATGTGACTTAGATCAACAACAAGGCGAAGCCATATTCAATGCACTATTTTCTTTCGGTTTTCTATTTTTTATTTATTTTTTTTCTATTTTTCCCTAATATCCACTATAAGTCACGTGACCCAAGCCGCCGATGTCCATTCTACCTTACTGACACCGGCAAATTCCAAATACTTTTGTGAATTCTGGATGAAGAATGGTAGCATCGTAAAACAGTGTTTTGAACCCTGTGCAAACATATTGGTGAATAAAACTTAGGCCTAGGCTTATCTATTGTCTGTGTATAGTTTCGAGTCGGATAAAGAATGTCGCGGTTGGAGTAAGAATTGAGTACACTGTAGGTGTCCAGAACTTGCTAAAATTAATTAGATCATTTTTATGTAACTGTTTAATTTATCATTTTCAAGATATAGTGAGCTTTTGATTGCACGTAAACGGTAAGGTAGAGCGTAATGACGTCTTAGAAAGTTATTGTTGCCGTCTGAATTCCTATAGGATGCAAGTTTGTCCAGAATATATAATCTACGTTGTGCTGAAAACGCAAGACGGTCACAGTTGAGTAAATCCGTTGTACATTCACGTCGTCGCGCAAATCAAAAGCTCCCTTTCCATATCATACGATATTCTTTTAAGTTAATGATATTCTCGAAGGTTTTGAAATATTGGTGGATGTTAACTTTGCATTAATGTTGTTTTATTCAATATAATCATTACTGACGGTGGATAAGAAAGACTTATATAGAAATAAATTCCCAGTGATCTATTTTGATTCTGTGTTTCCTTTGTAATCATTAAAGATATTTAGGACTCTATCAAAAACATTTTACATTTAACATACCCTGAAATAACATTAGCTTTAATCCTTACAATTGAAACACATTAAGCACGCTGCCCGTAAACTTTAAAGGGCCGAATTATGTCATTTTATACAAACGGGTTGATTGAACCCCCCCCCCCAAAAAAAATTGAACATCTAGTTTTTAAGTTGTTTAAATCGATCTTATATAGCACGATTATATTTACTTAGAGGTAATTAATATTCTGCCGATCCGAAAGCTCAAAATAGCACAGCGCAATATTTAACATCTATTAAATGAAACTGAAATATTTGTGATCGAGTGTTCACATTGTTTTGGCGAATTTTGGGAGCCTTAGGCTACGACTGCAATAATACTATAACATCTGTAATTATGGTTATCCATCAGCCTACAAGTCCTTTTTGTTCGTTTACCTATTCTATTATGATCATTTATTTTTTCAATTCACCTGCCATTCAACCCCATCATCTTGTAGTACATTGTAAGCAGCAGTGTAACTTTAAGTTCCATTAGTGTACAAACTGTTCCAAGTCACTTAGCCCTAACGGATTATTTTTGTATCAGTCACCTCTTATTACCGGCGGAGGACCCAATAATCGATCTTTATATTCGCCAATGTTTTATCATCTAATATGAATTAACATGGCATACATTATTTAATAAATTGATACTG